ATTGAAATAATTAAAAAGAATCAAGCAGGGCCGGGCGCGGTGGCTCAAGCCTGTAATCCCAGCACGTTGGGAGGCCAAGGTGGGCGGATCATGAGGTCAAGAGATCGAGACCATCCTGACCAACACGGTGAAACCCCATCTCTACTAAAAATACAAAAATTAGCCGGGCGTGGTGGTGTGAGCCTGTAATCCCAGTTATTCAGGAGGCTGAGGCAGGAGAATTGCCTGAACCCGGGAGGCAGAGGTTGTAGTGAGCCGAGATTGTGCCACTGCACTCCAGCCTGGTGCCTGGTGACAGAGTGAGACACTGTCTCAAAAAAAAAAAAAAAAAAAAAAAAAAAAAAAAAAAAAAAAAAAAAAAAAAAAAAAAAAAAAAAAAAAAAAAAAAAAAAAAAAAAAGAATCAAGCAGAAATTCTGGACTGAAAATGCAACAGGCATTTTGAAGAATGCATCAGAGTCTTTCAATAACAGAACTGTTTAATCAGAGGAAAGAATTAGTGAACCTGAAGACAGGCTATTTGAAAATAAACAGCCAAAGAAGCAAAAAGAAAAAGAAAAAAGGAAGCATGCCTACAGGATCTAGAAAATCGTCTCAAAAGGGCAAATCTGAGTTTTTGGCCTTAAAGAGGAAGTAGAGGAAGAGATAGGGGTAAAGTTTATTCAAAGGGATAACAGCAGACAACTTCTCAAACCTAGAGAAAGGTATCAATATCCAACTACAAGAAAGTTGTAGAACACCAAGCAGATTTAACCCAAAGAACACTACCTCAAAGTTTTTAATACTCAAACTCCCCAAAATCAAGGATAAAGGATCCTACAAACAGAGAGAGAAAACAAACAAATCAGGACAGTCTTCCTCAGCCTCATGGACTGCTGGGGTTGGGGCTAGGAAAATCAATCTTTTTTAATAAAAAAAGAAAGAAAGAAAGCAAACAAACAAAAAATATACAGTGGAGCTCCAATACTTCTGACCACAGATTTCTCAGTGGAAACCTTAGAGGCCAGAAGAGAGTGGCATGACATATTCAAAGTTCTGAAGGAAAAAACTTTTACCCTAGAATAGTATATCTAGTGAAAACACCCTTCAAATATGAAGGAGAACTACTTTTCCAAACAAAAGCTGAGGGGTTTCATCAATACCAGACCTGTCCTACAAGAAATGCTTTCAAGGGAGTACTTCAATCAGAAAGAAAAGGATATTAATGAGCAACAACTAATCACTCTGAGGTATAAAAACTTACGGTAATAGTAAATACACCGAAAAACACAGAATATTATAACACTGTAATGGTGGTGTATAAACTACCCTTATCTTAAGTAGAAAGAATAAATAATATAACATCAAACATAATAACAACAACAACTTTTCAAGACATAGCATAGTAACATATAAATAGAAACAACAAAAAGTTAAAAAGCAGTGGTATGAAGTTAAGGTATAGAGTTCTTATTAGTTTTCTTTTTGCTTGTTTATACAAACAGTGTTAAATTTTTATCAGTTTAAAATAATGGGTTATAAGATAGTGTTTGCAAGCCTCATAGTAACCTCAAACCAAAAAACATACAATAGATACACAAAAAATAAAAAGCAAGAAACTAAAGAATATTATTATATATTTTATATATATATATCCTCTTTTCTGCTTGTATAATATAATAATAACTATTATTATTATTATTTGAGACAGAGTCATGCTCTGTCACCCAGGCTGCAGTGCAGTGGTGCGATCTCAGCTAACTGCAACCTCCGCTTCCTGGGTTCAAGCAATGCACCTGCCTCAGCCTCCCAAGTAGCTGGGATTACAGGCACCCACCACCATGTCCAGCTAATTTTTATTATTTCTAGTAGAGGCAGGGTTTCTCCATGTTGACCAGGCTGGTCTCAAACTCCTTACCTCAGGTGATCTGCCTGCCTCGGCCTCCCAAAACACTGGGATTACAGGTGTGAGCCACTGTGTCTGGCCACAAGAAACTAAATTATATCATCAGAGAAAAGCACCTTTACCAATAAAAGAACACAGGAAGGAAAGAAAGAAGGAAAAGAAGACAAAACCACCAGAAAACAAATAACAAAATTGGAGAGGTAAGTCCTTACTTATCAATGATAACACTGAATGTAAATGGACTAAACTCTCTAATAAAAAGACATGGAATGGCTAAATGGGTAAAAAAAAAGCAAGATATATTGATTTTTTTGCCTACAAGAAACATACTTCACCAATAAAGACACAAATAAACTGAAAGTAAAGAGATGGAAAAAGATATTCCACGCCAATGGAAACTAAAAAAGGGCAGGAATAGCTATACTTGTATCAGACAAAACAGATTTCAAGACAAAAAAATTAAGAAGAGACAAAGAAGGACACTACATAATGATAAAGGGGTCAATTCAGCAAGAGGATATAACAGTTTTAAGTATATATGCATCCAATACTGGAACACCCAGATATATAAAGCAGATATTATTATCGCTAAAGAGAGAGATAGACTCCAACACAATAATAGCTGGAGACTCTGACACCCTACTTTCAGCACTGGACAGATTTTCCAGATAGAAAGTCAACAAAGAAACATCAGACTTAATTTCCACTATAGATCAAATGGATCTAATAGATATTTACAGAACATTTCATCTAATGGTTACAGAGTACATGTTCTTTTCCTCAGCACATGCATCATTCTAAAGGATGACCATATGTTAGGTCACAAAAAATGTCTTAAGACATTCAAAAAAACTGAAACAATATTAAGCATCTTCTCTTACCACAATGGAATAAAACTAGAAATTAATAACAAGAGGAATTCTGGAAACTACACAAATACATGGAAATGTTCCTGAATGACTAGTAGGTCAATGAGGAAATTAAGAAGGAAACTGAAAAACTTCTTGAAGTAAATGATAATGGAAACACAGCATACCAAAACCTATGGGATATAGCAAAAGCAATACTAAGAGCAAAGTTTATAGTTATACAAGTGTTTGCATATAAAAGAAGAAAAACTTCAAATAAAAAAAACTAATGATACACCTTAAAGAACTAGAAAAGCAAGGGCAAACCAAAGTAAAAATTAGAAGAAAAGAAATAATAGGCCTTGCATGGTGGCTTATGCCTGTAATCCTAGCACTTTGGGAGGCTGAGGTGGGTGGATCACTTGAGCCCAGGAGTTCAAGACCAACCTGGGTAACATGGTGAAACCTTGTCTCTACTAAAAGTACAAAAATTAGCCAGATGTGGTGGCACGTGCCTGTAATCCCAGGTATTTGGGAGGCTGAGACATGAGAATTGCTTGAATCTGGGAAGCAGAGGTTGCAGTGAGCCAAGATTGTGCCACTGTACTCTAGCCTGGGTGACGGAGTGAGACTCTGTCTTAAAAAAAGAGGAAGAAGAAGAAAGAAGAAGAAGAAGAAGAAAAGGAGGAGGAGGAGGAGGAGGAGGAGGAGGAAGAAAGAAGAAAGAAGAAGAAAGAAGAAGAAGAAAGAAGAAAGAAGAAGAAAGAAGAAGAAAGAAGAAGAAGAAAGAAGAAGAAGAAGAAAAGAAGAAGAAGAAGAAGAAGAAGAAGAAGAAGGAGAAGGAGGAGGAGGAGGAGGAGGAGGAGGAGGAGGAGGAGGAGGAGGAGAAGAAAGAAGAAGAAGAAAGAAGAAGAAGAAGAATGAAAGAAAGAAAGAAAGAAAGAAAGAAAGAAAGAAGAAGAAAGAAAGAAGAAAAAGAAGAAGAAGAAGAAGAAGAAGAAGAAGAAAGAAGAAAGATGAAGAAGAAGAAGAAAGAAGAAGAAGAAAGAAAGAAGAAGAAGAAAGAAAGAAGAAAAGGAAGAAGAAGAAATAATAAAGATCAGAGAAGAAATAAAATTAAAATAAAATAATATAAAAGATCAATGAAACAAAAAGTTGTTTTTTAAAAAGTTAAAAAAAATTGACAAACTTTTGATGAGACTAAGAAAAAAAGACAGAAGTCCCAAGTGAATAAAATCAGAGATGTAAAAGGAAACTTTACAACTGACACTACAGAAATTCAAAGGATTATTAGTGTCTACTATGAGCAACTATATTACAATAAATTGGAAAATCTAGAATAAATGGACAAATTCCTTACCAAGATTGAGCCATGAAGAAATCCAAAACCTGAGCACGCCAATAACAAGTAACAAGATTGGAGCTGTAATAAAAAGTCTCCCTGTAAGGAAAAACCTGGGACTGGGTATGGTGGCTCATACCTCTAATCCCAGCACTTTGGGAGGCCAAGGCAGGTGGATCACCTGAGGTCAGGAGTTCAAGAGCAGCCTGACCAATATGGTGAAACCTTGTCTCTACTAAAACCACAAAAAATTAGTTGGGCATGGTGGTGTGTGCCTGTAATCCCAGCTACTCGGGAGGCTGAGGCAGGAGAATTGCTTGAACCTGGGAGGTGGAGGTTGCAGTGAGCCAAGATAGCGCCACTGTACTCCAGCCTGGGCAATAAGAGTGAAACTCCATCTCAAAAAAGAAAAAGAAATAAAAAAATAAAAAGAAAAGCCTGGGACTCAATGGCTTCACTGCTAAATTCTACCAAACATTTAAAGAAGACCTAATATCAATCCTACTCAAACTATAGAGGAGGAAGGGATACTTCCAAACTCATTCTACAAGGCCAGTATTATCCTGATGCCAATAACCAGACAAAGACACATCAAGAAAAAGAAAGAAAGAAGAAAGGAAGAAAAAGAGAGAGAGAAGGGGAAGGTAGGGAGAAAGGAAGATAGGAAGGGAAGGAAGGTAGGAAGGAAGGAAGGAAGGAAACTACAGGCACTGGTCTCTAATGAATATCAGATATCAGACATCTCTGATGAATATCTCATAAAAATCCTCAACAAATTACCAGCAAATTTAATTCAACAATACATTAAAAAGATTATTTATTGTGAACAAATAGGATTTATCCCTGGGATGTGAGGATGGTTCAACATATGTAAATCAATCAATGTGATACATTATATCAACAGAATGAAGGACAAAATCCATATAGTCATTTCAATAGATGCTGAAAAAGCACTTGATAAAGTTCAGCATACCTTCATGATAAGAACTCTTATCAAAAAACTAGGTATAGATGGAACATATCTCAACATAATAAAAACCATATACCGCATACCACAGACCTACAGCTAGTATCATACTGAATGAGGAAAAACTGAAAGCCTTTCCTCTAAGATCTGGAACATGACAAGAATGCCCTCTTTCATCAATGTTATTCAATATAGTGGTGGAAGTCCTAGCTAGAGCAATCAGACAAGAGAATGAAATAAAGGGCATCCAAAATGGAATGGAAAAAGTCAAATTATCCTTGTTTGCAGATGATATGATCTTGTATCTGGAAAAACCTCAAGCCTCCACAAAAAACTATTAAAACTGATAAATTCAGTAAAGTTGTAGGATACAAAATCAACATAAAAAATCCGAAGCATTTCTATATGCAATAGTGAACAATCTGAAAAAGAAATAAAAAAGTAATCCCATTTATAATAGCCGCAAATAAAATTACATACCTAGGAAATAATGTAACTAAATAAGTGAAAGATCTCTGTAATAAAAACTATAAAACACTGTTGAAAGAAATTGAAGAGGACACCAAAAAATGGACAGATATTCCATGTTCATGGATTGGAAGAATCAATACTGTTAAAATGTCCACACTATCCAAAGCAATCTACAGATTCAATGCAATCCCTATCAAAATACCAAAGACATTCTTCACAGAAATAGAAAAACAAATACTAAAATTTATATGGAACCATAAAAGACCCAGAATAGCCAAAGCTATCCTAAGCAAAGAGAATAAATCTGAAAGAATCACATTATCTGACTTCAAATTATCCCCTATAGAGCTATAGCAACCAAACCAGCATGATACTGGCATAAAAACAGATACACTGACCAATGGAACAGAATAGAGAACCCAGAAACAAATTCACACACCTAGTGAACTAATTTTCGACAAAGGTGCCAAGAACAGGGAAAGACAGTCTCTTCAACAGATGGTGCTGGAAAACTGGATATTCATATGCAGAAGACTGAAACTAGACCCCTATCTCTTGCTATATACAAAAATCAAATCAAAATGCATTAAACACTTAAATCTAAGACAATAAACTATGAAACAACTACAAGAAAACATGGGGGAAAATAACCAGGACACCACTCTGGGCAAAAACTTCTTGAGTATACCCTACAAACACAGGCAACCAAAGAGAAAATGGACAAATGGGATCACATCAAGTAAAGAAGCTTCTGATGATCAATGGAAACAATCAACAAAGTGAATAGACAACCCGTAGAATAGGAGAAAATATTTGCAAACTATCCACCTGACAAAGGTTAATAACCAGGGTATATAAGAAACTCAAACAACTCCATAGGAAAAAATCTTATAATCTGATCAAATAGGCGAGAAATTTAAACAGACATTTCTCAAAAAAAGACACACAGATGGCAAACATGCATATGAAAAAGTGACTGTTCACTAATCATCAGAGAAATGCATATCAAAACTACAATGAGATATCGTCTCATCCCAGTTAAAATGGCTTATATCCAAAAGACAGGTAATAACAAATACTGGCTAGGATGTGGAGAAAAAGGAGCCCTTCTACACTGTTGGTGGAAATGTAAATTAGGACAACCACTATGGAGAACAGTTTGGAGGTTCCTCAAAGAACTAAAACTAGAGCTACCATATGACTCAGGAATCTCACTGCTGAGGTATATACAGGAAAGTAAGGAAATCAGTATATTGAAGAGATATCTGCTGCAGTCCTATGTTTGTTGCATCACTGTTCACAATAGCCAATATTTGGATGCAACCTAAGTGTCCATCAACAGATGAATAGATAAAGAGAATGTGGGCTGCGTGCAGTGGCTCATGCCTGTAATCCCAGCACTTTGAGAGACTGAGATGGGTTAATTGCTTGAGTGCAGGAGTTTCAGACCAGCCTGGGAAACATGGCAAAAACCTGTCTCTACAAAAAATTAGCCAGAAGTGGTGGCATGTGCCTACAGTCCTAGTTACTTGGGAGGCTGAGGTGGGAGAATCACCTGAGCCCCAGAAGTTGAGACTGCAGTACATGTACACAACAGGGTATTATTTGGCCATAAAAAGGAATGAGATCCTATCATTTGCAACAACATGGATGGAACTGGAGATCATTATGTTAAATAAAATAAGCCAGGCACAGAAAGACACACACATCACACATTCTCACTTATTTGTGGGATCTAAAAGTTAAAACAATTGAACTCTTGGAGACAGAAACTACAAAGATAGCTACCAGAGGCTGGGAAGGGTAGCTGGAGGTGGGGGAAAGTAGGGATGGTTAATGGGTACAAAAATATATAAAGAATGAATAAGGCCTACTATTTGATAGCACAACAGGGTGAGTATAGTCAGCTATAATTTCATTGTACATTTAAAAGTAACTAAGAGTATAACTGGATTGTTTATAACACAAAGGATAAATGTTTGAGGGGAGAGATACCCCATTCTGCATGAGATAATTATACATTGCATGCCTGTATCAAACCATTTGACGTACCCCATAAATATGTACATCTACTATGTACCCACAAAAATTAGAATTAAAAAAATTAATCAACTGCTTTGGAGATTTTTTTTAAAAAAAGATAGATGAGGTCTCATTCTACTGTGCAGGGTGGAGTACAGTGGCACAATCACAGCCCTCAAAATCCTGGGCTCAAGCAAGCCTCCCACTTCAGCCTCCCGAGTAGTTGGGACTATAGGCATCTGCTACCACACTGTGCTGAGTATTTTTATTTTTAGAGATGGAGGTCTATATTACTCAGACTAGTCCTTAACTCCTGGCCTCAAGTGATTCTGCCACCTTGGCCTCCCAAAATATTGGGATTATAGGCATTAGCCACTGTGCCCAGCCAGGCAGGATGCTTTTTGCCAGTCCACAGCCACTGCACAATCCAAAATCTTGTTCAGATACCATATTGTTAATTTTATAAAGCTCATGAATTTTGAATGTTTATAAAGCCCAAACTCCAGCCAAAAAAGGCTGAAGCCCTTTAGGGTAGACTGTGGCCAGGAAGGATGAGTTTTAATGGGGGAAGGAATGAGCAGGTACATGGAACCTGGGATCTTAAATGTCCAGGTTCAAGAGTCAGAGTTCCCTTAAGCATGAGCGACAAGAGTCTGTTCTGCTTGGTATGTGGCTGCTTCTAGGAAGTATAGCTTTTCTCCTGGTTCCTCTTCCCAGTGTGTTGGGAAATGATGAGGAAGTTTATGTGTTGCCATTGGTAGTCACTTGTGACCCAGCCACGTGCTGCCCCAGGAGACTCTGGTGTTGAACTGGTGACTTCTTGCCATCCTTTACCTGCCTTCTGTGGATCGCTTTTGTCTTCTCTACACTGCCTCAGGCCAGGAGAACCAGGTTCTTCTTTTACTTACCCAAAGCACAGCCAAGTCCAGGCTCTAGATTTTTATCTAGACTTGAGGAAAACAAAGGGAATGACATGTGGGAAAGAAAACACATTTGGATGTTATAGATATTAGTGTTCTTGGAGCCCAGGGGCCAAGCCCCTTCCTGGAGGACTTGGATTGGCTATCTTTCTCCTTGGCCCCAACCTGACATCTTTTCTTGTCCCTTTAGGAATGTCTGATGGAAGCTCCTCCTAACCTGGGGTCATACTCCATTTCATTCTCTGGGCTCAGTGAGAGGAAAAAAAAAAATTTTTTTTAATAATTTACTGAAAACCCAGATCACATCATCATAAATTCAGGTGGGTGCAATTCTGCCCAAAATGAAGGCAAAGTGTTACACTAATTTCAAAAAATGTTTGCCTCTTGTTCCCCCAGACTTCATTCTTGATTTTGTAATTTTCTGTGGGCAAGCTCTTGGAGAGGGGCACAAAAGTCTGACTGAAGTATTTTCTGAAGAAAGAAAAACGGCAGTCTTCCTCCACTAATGAGAATGTAAACTGTTGAACAACTGTAAAATGTTTTCATTCTGCTTTTAGACACAAAGCTTTCAAAAATTTTGAGGTCTTTTAGCACATCCCCATTGTATATGTAATATGGCTCCAGGTAATCACTCTGCCATGGGGAGAAAATCTTCCATAACTCTCCCCCATATATACGTACACTCCACCACCTTGTCGTGTTAGGGAAAATCTCTCTACTTCCAGAGGTTGCTGGGGAGGGAAGGAGATGAAATAGTTTGACCTTGACCCTAGCTGTGAGATAGATCCTACGTCTTTGAAACCTGTGACATAATGAACTGTAAGTATAGACATTTCAAATCCTCGGCAGTTTTTGTTTAATAAGAGATGGAGGCAAAATTTGCCTCTTTTTTTGTGGAAGAACATTTTTTTGAGATTTTATTTATGTTAAGGTAGACCTCAAGTCCTACTCTTTACTAGGGTGATTGAAACAGGATTTATACAGCTCAACCCAATTTGCGGCCAAATTGTTTTCAGTGTAGGCCAAGTGCCATCCACGCAAATCCCCTGTAATGTTGATCACTGAAAAGCAAGGATTCTGGCAAAAAAAAAAAAAAAAGCTAAAAATTAGGGCCCTAGGCTTTGTTAAAGGTGGTCCAAGTAAAGGACTGAGGTACAAGAATGCTGGAAGGTAACCCTCCTGGCAGACTATCACCTAGGGAGTCTTGATCCCTTGACATTGAGCATCCATTGTCCATTTTCTGAATTGTAATCCCTGCTATTTTTGGAAAGCCAGACACAAATAGTTTTGCAAAATGGGATCCTGTCCTACATACTCCTTTTGTTTTGGATGTTCCACCTTTAATAAAATGTGCCTTCATTTCTTTCACTTGTCATTCCCTCTTTCTACTCCCTTCACTGACAGCAGTTCTTCCTGCTTTTGTTGTTAGAAATCACTGTGAGGCTAGGGCACAGCTATCCATGTCATTTTCCATGCTCAGATAATTATATATAGGTGTTTGGGAGAAATCTCTTAAAATGAGCTCACATTATCTACATTCCTTTGAATCTTGATTTTCTTTGAATAGCGGCAAGCTCACCAGGTCATCCTGCATATTTCTTTTTTTGTTTGTTTTTTAGATGGAGTCTCCCTCTGTCACCAGGCTGGAGTGCGGTGGCACGATCTCGGCTCACTGCAACCTCCAGCTCCTGGGTTCAGGCAATTCTCCTGCCTCAGCCTCCTCAGTAGCTGGGACTACAGGTGTGTGCCACCACACCCAACTAATTTTTTTGTATTTTTAGTAGAGACTTTAATTTTTTTATAGATACTTTTTAATTTTTTAATTTTTTTGTAGACTTTTATTTTTAGTAGAGACTTTTTTGTTTTATTTTTAGCCATTAAAAATTGCCATTTTTAATTTTTATTTTTTTGTAGACTTTTTATTTTTTTATTTTTATTTTTTTTTTACTTTATTTAATGAACATCATTCACAGACTTTTATTTTTAGTAGAGACTTTTTTGTTTTATTTTTAGCAATTAAAAATTAGCCAGGCATGGTGGCCTGTGCTTGTAGTCCCAGCTACTCGGGAAGCTGAGACGGGAGAATCAGCTGAGTCCAGGTCAAGTCAAGTCCATAGTGAACCGTGATGGTGCCACTGCACTCTAGCCTGGGCTACAGAGTGAGACTCTGTCTCAAAAAAAACAAAACAAAACAAACACCAAAAAAATTAATGTGACCTCAGTTCATTTATTTTCTCATTGACTTCATTCTTTAAATGTAAACATTTACTTCTAAGAAATATTTATATGCTAGGGACTAAATGGCTAAAGATAAAAAGCACAGGTTCTGGATGTAGAGAAATTAGAACCCACATGCATTGCTGGTGTGAATGTAAAATGGCGCAGCCACTTTGAATCAAAGGTTGGTAGTTTCTTAAAATGCTAAATAAATACAGTTATCCTACGACCTAGCACTTCCACTCATATATGCATAATATACCCAAGAAATACAAAAACATATCCATACAAAAACTTGTACCTAAGTATTTATAGCACATTATTTATACATTAAATGAAAATAATCCAAATGTCTATCGTCAAGTGAAATGTAGTATATCCATACAATGGACCAATATTCAGCAATAAAAAGGAATGAGCTGAGCTGGGCACAATGGCTCATGCCTGTAATCCTAGCACTTTAAGAGATCAAAGCGGGAGGACTGCTTTAAGCCAGAAGTTCCAGACCAGCCTAGACAACATAGTGATATCCTGTCTCTAAAAAAATTTTAAAACGTAACAGTTTGTGGTGGCATGCACCCAGCTATTTAAGAGGCTGAGGTGGGAGAATCTTTTTTTTTTTTCTTTTTGGAGATGAAGTCTTGCTCTGCCACTTAGACTGGAGTACAGTGACAAGATCTCAGCTCACTGCAACCTCTGCCTCCCAGGTTCAAGTGATTCTCCTGCCTCAGCCTCCCAAGCAGCTGGGATTACAGATGTGCACCACCACGCTCAGCTAATTTTTGTATTTTTAGTAGAGATGAGGTTTCACCATGTTGGCCAGGCTGGCCTTCAACTTCTGAGCTCAAGTAATCCGCCCTCCTCGGCCTCCCAAAATACTGGGATTACAGGCATGAGCCACTGCGCCTGGCTGGGAGAATCTCTTGAGCCCAGGAGTTTGAGGCTGCAGTGAGCCATGACTATACTACTGGACTCCAGTCTGGGTGACAGAGTGAAACCCCAACTCTTAAAAAAAAAAAAAAAAAGAAATGAAATATTAACATAGGCTACAATGTGGATGAACTTGAAAAATATCATGCTAAATTTAAAAAGCCAGTCACTAAAAGCCACATCTTATATGATTTTATCTATACTAGATGTCCAGAACTGGCAAATCTACAGAGACAAAAAGATTAGTGATTGCCTACAACTAGGTTGTGAGAAGCTGAGGGAAAGAATGGGAAGTGACTGCTGATCAGCACAGGTTTCTTTTTGGAGTGATAGAAATGCTGTAAAATTAGATTGTGGTGATGGTTGCACAATCTGAAAATACTCTAAAAATCATCTTAAATGGGTGAATTCTGTAATATGTAAGTTATGTACCATAAAGCTATTTTTAAAAGTAAAACAACATGAATTAGGCTAAAGTCCACTTTTATGACTAATGCTAACCTCAAACTTTTCCCAGTCTCCTCACAGGGAACCATTATTATCAGTTTAGTGTATTTGTTTCCAGATTTTTTTTCTGAGTAGAAAATATACAGTACTGCTAAATCAATTCTAAGCAAAAAGAACAAAGCAGGACGCATCACACTATTGGAATTCAAACTATACTACAAGGCTACAGTAATCCAAACAGCATGGTACTGGTGCCAAAACAGAGATATAGACCAATGGAACAGAACAGAGGCCTTGGAGGCAACAGAACATATCTACAACCATCCGATCTTTGACAAACCTGACAAAAACAAGCAATGGGGAATGGATTCCCTGCTTAATAAATGGCGTTGGGAAAACTGGCTAGCCATGTGCAGAAAGCAGAAACTGGACCCCTTCCTGACACCTTACACCAAAATTAACTCCAGAAGGATTAAAGACTTAAACATAAGACCTAACGCCATAAAAACCCTAGAAGAAAATCTAGGCAAAACCATTCAGGACATAGGCATAGGCAAGGACCTCGTGACCAAAACACGAAAAGCATTGGCAACAAAAACCAAAATAGACAAATGGGACCTAATCAAACTCCACAGCTTCTGCACAGCAAAAGAAACAGTCATTAGAGTGAATCGGCAACCAACAGAATGGGAAAAAATTTTTGCAGTCTACCCATCTGACAAAGGGCTGATATCCAGAATTTACAAAGAATTAAAACAGATTTACAAGAAAAAAACAAACGAGCCCATTCAAAAGTGGGCGAAGGATATGAACACACACTTTACAAAAGAAGACATATATGAGGCCAACAAACATATGAAAAAATGCTCATCATCACTGGTCATTAGAGAAATGCAAATCAAAACTACATTGAGATACCATCTCACGCCAGT